GAATCGTTATTGAGACACTGTTGTTATTTTATCATTAAATCGTAAATTTGCCCGCATATATATCAAGGGACTGCAATTATTTTCTTTATTTGGAATCGTTCAATGAAGCTGTAGATTTATAGGGATGTGATTTTTTTAAAGGTTTCCCACATTGTAACAAGTTAATAGGTTGATGATGCTTGCCGCACCTACTTGTATACTCTACAGGTTTTAGAGTTGTACTAGATTTCAAAGCTTCTGAAAAATTAACAATTCGTTTAAGAGAATCAACCTAAATGTATCGGCACTTATCTTTCTTAGGAAAGATCTGCCAACAATATTGTAATTTTTTTTTTTTTGATGATGACAGAATATTCTAACTTTACAATGATTTTCATTTCAATTATTGCAGTTTCTCCACAAAAACAAGAGATTTTCATTAATTTTCGGGAGACAAAAAATTGTTTGTTTGAGTGTTAGATTGCACTCTCTATATTAAAATTATTGATTTTTGTGTAGGAGGAGATACACAATCATATTTTATTCACAGTCAGTTGGAATGTCAGTCAAACATTTTTTCTACTACCTTGAATATTTTCAACATTATGTCAAGATATTTTTATATTTCTAAAAAAATTGTCTCATTGTTTTGTTTGTTATGACGATGAGATGAAAAGAGCAATAATACTACATATTCTACACAAATCTGATGTCTTCCCTTCTCGGTAGAATGAATGATGTTGATATTACTAAAAAATTAATACTGGGATTTGAAATGATTAAATCAGTTTTAATGAGTTCCGAATCCACTTAATAATTTAGGATCTTATTCAAAGGTAAATATTTTTCCTGGTAATATGTTTGTTTTGAACCATCAATCTACACGAACAAAATACAACTTCAATCACCGGAAATGTATTTTTAGCTCGCCCGCTTTCCTAAGTTTCTTTGATGTCAATGGTTGAAATCTGTCAGCTACATAAAAGGCTCCCCACAACGAGGCTGTTTTTATATACAACGGACAAATTTGTTTTCATAGAGTTAGACTTATATTGGAACTGTGACTGTAATTATATCTTTATTAATTAATTTATGAAGTCGATACTTCTGTTAAGAGTAAGAGAGACCAGTACAAATGAATTTGGATGTTTGTGAAGACACTGATATCTTCCATTTTGAAAAAAATGTATGTGTGGATATACTGAGCTTTTCGGCCAAAAGGTGCCGTGGTTGGAATTATGGAACCCAATATATGTTTATACGGTTTGTTGTGCCTGTGCCGACGTTAGTAGTCTAGAAGAGCATTCTTTTAGACCAAGAATTGGGCTCATAGAATAAAATTGCTTCTTCATTCAACCCTGGAATGATGTGGAACGACACTTTGAACTCTCGACCGCTGATGTGGAACTTGAGATTTCACATCTTGTTTCCCACAAACCGGGATATAAATATAGGAATTTGCTTGTACATCATGGGAAGGCATTTGATTGGCTCTGATGAATTTTTGTGTGGCCCCAGAATCAAGTAAGCCTTGAAGGTTTTGCTTTGTAGTTGGACTACGATTCTAGGTAAAGAATCTCACTATCGTGATCTAGAGAGCCTCTGTCTTGGATTCGCGACAACTTCTTGGCACAGCAGGTGGAAACACAGCGAGTAGTCCATCTGAAATAGTTCTACCTTATCTAAGTCAATGTTTTGGGCTCTATTTAGACGTTGTTTTTTATCTTGTCCCTTGTTGTATATTATTTGTTATTTAGTTATATCAATTTGGTTATTGAATTAGAAAAATTTAAAATGGGTTACCTACTGTAAGGTTTTCATTGAATTTTCTTTAACCTTATGCATTTCGCAACATACAATTTATTGTTTCTGTATGTTTACGAGATTTTTCTTCTATTATTCAGGAAATTCAGGAAAATTGCACCTCAGGATGGCGACAAATTCATTCATTCTTATTTTAAATAATTTGTTTTAGATTTACAGGACACCTGAAGAAGCCTTATGGCTTTTGTAATATTCGACATTAATAAAGAGTGAATTATGCATATTACAACGGTTAGGTATAAATTTATTCGAACTTTGTTAACCATAAAAATACATCGACTGCCCGAGGGCGTACGCTTATACAAACCAGTGGGAAACAATGGCCCGAGATTGTAATATTTCTCGCTATACCATAAAAATAAAGAGCTCTTACATGATCCTTTACGGACGCCACCCCGCATTTTGGGAACCCCCAGAGGGTCATCACAGTTATTTTTTATTTCGGTATGGTAATTGCTCTTTGTGTTTATGGACACTTTTATTACAGTGTTCAGGTGCAGATATATTAGCACCGCTTTACTGTTATTCATAAAGGGAAGAGTGGCTGTTCTTAATATCTGCAGCGGTGCTCGAAAATTTATTAATTATTCAAACGCTGAAATTGATGGCGAACCGGATTAGGAGGAACAGAAATAAAGAATAATCGTTGTCGTTACAAGTTGCAGGATGTTAGCTGGTTAAATTTGTTATTTTTGGTTTAATTGGTGGGGTAAACTTTTATAATCCCTTAATATTGTGTCGTGAATTACACATTTTTTTTTAATTTGCCAGAGTGTAATATGCTTATCAATTGTGAAATATTAGATACATTTGTTATGCAATGGAGAATTCTCATCTATACACTGTATTTTTCCAAAGAGTACACCCTTTATAACTTTACAAATTATGAGACATGTTTTCACATGTCACACAAAATTCTATTTATGGTTTTAAATATAACTTCTCTGGGTTTTTCTTATTTGAATTCTGATTACAGTACCTACTTGTACACGATAAATGTAATATGGATACTGTTGGTTTCGTTTTCTAAACTTTACTGTAGAATGAAATCACCTCACGATAAATTCGTCTGATGTTGGATCGATATTGTTCAGAATTTTCTTCTTAATTCAGACGTTTCTGTGCTTATCTTACTGGCGGGAACCTTGAATATCGGGACGCTTTGGCATAACGATGCCATGTTAATAGTTATCTAATGGAATAAAATTACATTTATATAAATAATTCTGTGATTAACTGGACTTCCAAGTCTAGCCTTCCTCTAGTGACTCCGTGTAGCAATACGGGACGGATTAGTGAATCTCATTTATTCTATTTTTATAGCTTGGAGATTCCGCCTAAAAACCAGCTATTTGATGTATTACTTTCCAATTATTATCAATTTAACAACTTATTTAAATATCTCGGAATTCCTACGTGTTCTTTCGAATGCATTTCGCGCGTTATTAGAAATATCGATTTTTCTCTTTGTACCAGATGCTCAACACATGGCCCCGACAGTCTAAGTGAACTTGTTAAAAAAAATACCTAATTGAGAACCTTTAACTTTTCGACACTTAGTGTTGACTGAAATATTTTACTTTTTGGCCCATCCGTTCCGAGAACTAACAAATAAATTACCACGCGTCCCGTTACAGTTCAATTACAATTGAAAAGCATATGGTGAGTTTTTTCAGTTGTTAAACAATTTGTAATCAAACCACTTCTTTACAAGTATTAAGTCAATCTCCCCCATTTAGTTACATCCAGAAAGCCATCAAATATCCCCTTTGTTTAGTAATGAAGACATTCCATTTATATATAAAGGATAAGACCTAGTATAGTACCTTGCGGTACTCCATATTGTATTAACATTGGGTTACTCAATACCTCATCAATTTTTACTCGTTCATGCATAACGGATATATAGCTTTTGAATGATTACAATATGTTGCCTTATATTTTAATGTTAGTAATTCATTATTAGAACTTTGTAGAACAGCATGAAACATTTTATATTTTATTTATAGTTTATGTAATCCAAAGTGTCAAATAGAAATCATGTCATTCCATACGTAACAAATAAGGATGAATATAAAATTGTTGTGTACCTCAGAAGTTTTGTAAACTATAAAATTGACGACAGGTTTACTAGATTCTTCGCAAATCTGTTAATTTCCATTAAGTTAATTAATATGAAAGAAAGCGACTACCTCGAGTTTCTTCTTTCTCAGGATAATTCAAGAAATTGAAGACATACCTTAATATTCAAAATATCAACGAATTGAATGAATACCAAGAGCTGACTGAAAGTGACTGTATTAACAATCACTCTGTATAAACTGTTAGCTGTGCTCGAGCCGTATGCCGCTCTATCCTCACAATACACAATGCTATTGACTGCCATAAAAACACGTGCCATACACTCGACCAAGCAAAGCGTTAACATTAAACACACGCAGGAACGAGAATGTCCATTAGCAAAAAACCTTGACTATTCACCGGGACGCCAGGCCGATAGGGCAGGCATTAGGCGACCGCTAGCTACGTATGGAATAAATTGATCGATGGGAAGCTTCAGATCAAAGGTAGACATGTGCATGGTATTGTACAATGACGCGGATAGTGGGTTTACTAAAATGTGATGTAGTGGATGGTTCACCACCATTAGTAAAAATAGCATCTATTAAAAACTTGGATTGTTTTAAATATGTGCCTGTGACCTCAGTAAATATTGAACCAAAATTAAAAGTGAACAATTCTTTCAAATTAGAACAATGCTATGTAATTATGTAACAATCATTAAATGCTTAATTACATAATTTTCGTAATTAGTACATCAAAAGGAGCACTTATGTTAATGTTACAAACCCCATTGTTATTATTACCCCATAATTTGTTATTCTCATTACTCACACTTACATGTCATTTGTGTGAATTTTGTGTAATCGGTTTCTCATGAAGTGTACCTCTCATCAAAATACTAAACGACCTTCCACAGTACACTGTACATTTCCTAGTCTTCTTGGCAGTATCGATATCAACTTAGCCCTCGATTCATCACCTTAAAGAAGTATTTTTCTCATACAAATAAAATAAGCTTACATTGTTAATCGCTTCGCGTGAGAATTTTCCAGCTCGTTAATTGCCACGAAGACTTCCACTTGCCTCCAGTTGTTTGTTCAGTTTCACCAGAAAGAACAATTGTTTTGTTGCAGGTCGAAAAAAGCGGGAAACCAGTGCGGTCTAATTGCTCTCAACTGTCGGTAAGTGCTAGCTTTAGTTAGTTTTATTTCATTCTGCCACCGGTTGACACACCCAACGTAAATCTAAGTTCGTTAGGGCTAACTGGATTTTTGCACCCCTCTAACTGTCTGAGACGTCTGGATTTCTCCGGACTATGTGGTAACAGATGAAAACTATACTTTGTTTCACTATCTACCCGATATGCAGTCAATAATCAAATTAAAAAATATGGAAGCTTTTGGAAAAATGTTACAAATTTCAGTTAACAGATAATACTTAAGGAGGTATATCGGGTTTACTCAAATGCACAGATGTACTTGAAGTTTATATAGCGTATTAGCCAGTGTGCTCCCTCTGTGCGTCATATTTGATTTCAAACATATACATTTTTCCTAAATCCCATGTACAATGTTATCAACAATAAATTATCCACAACAGATGATGTTTTGTAATGTTTTTAAAAAACTAGAATAAATAAAAAAGACTAGGAAGCTGTGATATATTTAATGGAATACAAAATTCAGTTGATAAATCCTTTTAATATATTTAATGCTTTATAAAAACATCGTAATCATTACCCAGTAATATTTAGGGTTACATAAAGTTTTCTTTGCTTGATTAATATAATTAGTAATACTGGAGATAAAAGCATTTGTACGGAATAACAAAGGAACAGAAATATTTCTCAGCAAACTTTATATCTAAAAAATTAGTTATAGTTGCAAAACTTTTGTAACATTACTCAAATAGAGATTAAGAACAGTGAGTAATAATGTAATTTCTATCACAGAACCTTCAAAATTGCATCCAACATTTTCTTTGACTTGGACGAGAGATGGGCGCGAGTGTCATTTCATTTCTTTAGAACTAAATCAACATAATGCTCGTTGTTTTACCAGTTCTCATGATTTACGGATTTGAAATAAAGGATACAAATCTTCGCGAGGATAATACGATATATTTGCTACATATAATAATTATATTGTACATAGTTTAAACACAATACATTTTTGAACGCGTACGCATCTTTACCCGAATTTAACGCGCAATATCTCCGATGTCCGAGGTCTGTAGGTTCAAAGTGTACAACTGCTAGTCAATTCTTTGCGCTATTGCCATATCTACATAGTCTTTATGCATTCATTAAATATAATTTAAAACTACTTAAATATGATATTTTTATGTTGTTAATTAGTCAATATGTATGCTATGCGCATATGAGTAAATTTCTTTGCTATATAGATAATGTTTATCGCAAATAATTTCAATAGAATTTAATTTTTTCAAATTGGCAGCGGGTTTTAGTCTCATAAGAAAAGCATAGGACCCCCCTGCGCTCTTCACTTCTTTCGGACCCCGATATACCTCCTTATGTAAAAAAACGTAGATTTTAAAATACTGAGTTTCACCATGATATTTAAATATTATATACCTTATTTATTTGTTTTTACTTCATCTTACTACATATTCATAATTTTTGTGATAATTCTACAATTTTTTTACTTTATAGGTATTCAGCTGATTCAAACAAATTAAAAATACATAGGTACAATTTAAAAAATTTTACTAAACGTGATTAATGTTCTTGGATAATAGAAAATGTGGAAACAAAAAGATTCCTTTCTAGTAGCTATTTTTTACGTGGTTAGTCCTGTCAAGGGTGATGTAACTGAGATTTTCCCATGAGCAGTTGTAATTTTAAATAAATAATATGACAACAAGGATATAGGCTGTTTCTTTGAATATTTGCATTTTTTACAACTTCAGTATGTCAGGTTTTTGAATTAATTATATTTAGACATATCTTTGTTTGGATAATTATTTATTACCAGCTATTTAATAGGTATTAGTGCGGTGTAATTCACAGCCCATAGAATATTTGTTTTCATCAACAAATAAGAATCTTGTCTGTGGTGCTAAATACCTTTTGTGTACCTATATTCCAGTATCGAAGAACATTATTTGATTTTATTCAATAATTAATAAAAAATAATTTGTTTGAATTATTAAAACTTTAACACGGAGTAAAAAATTGTACATGCGTTTTGAAATAATGCTACAAAGATTTTACATTGTTTTCGAATGAAAATAATGACATAAAAATAAGGAACAAGATAATTTCAAATAAGCACTCATTTCATAACTAGTAAATGTAGTAATACTTGAGTTTCATTTACTGAAGGGGTAGTTCATAAATGTCATGGCAAGTTTTTTTAATTTCTTTCTAAAATAACCAAGTAGGTATTTATTTGTCTGAAAAATAAAACATTTGAGAAAAACAAAGCTTTATAAGCTTTGGACAAGTGTAGAACAATAATTCTTAGGAATAAAAGATTGAAATATTGAAAAGTTATACACAGAAAAAAAATAAACACTAGTCAATAAATTTGAGAAGCAAGAACACTAGAAATTTAGTTCAATACTTATACTTAAAGTATAATAAAATTAGATTTCATTGTAAATACTCTTTACTTATATTGTTTTCCATTATGCAAGGATATGTACCATTAAACAGTAATAAAATAAACTAAAGGTATGACTGAAGTATCATTTAATTATGACGATATACTAATAAAATATATGACGCTGGTTAGAACGATATTCTTTTACGTAAGAGTAGTTTCTCATGTTGTGGGAGTTTGACAATTAAATTTTATGTGTGTTAAAAAAAATTACATGGGTTTGCTATTTGCTATTTATAGTTTTGAAGAGGAAATATATATCATCTCTTATAATATAACCAGCTTTGTGACGTTTAAATATATCGAAAAAAAAGTTTCCTCAGATCAGTCGTATGTATTCTGAATTTACTACAACAGCCGCTATTGCTGGCTGTTGTTAGCACTGCTAGAATCGTCAATATAATGTATGTTGATTATGAGCTTTGGAGGAATCAAAATTTATTTGACCAAATAAATCATTTGACTGTATTTGGCGAATTAAAGACTTATTTAGTGTTAATAAGGCATTTATTTGAATGAAACTACCAAATATTTAGTTTTAAAAAATACTTCGAACATTTAAAATGAACTACCCATAAATAATTAAATGTTTATTTCCTGAAAATATTTTTAAATGATATACTGGCTTTTGTTTAATTACAGACTTGTATCACATTTAAGCGCGACACCCTGTATAACTGTAGTATTTTAGTCAAAAAAATATAGGCAAATTCCTTACTTTTAAAGAGAAATATTGCAAAAACTAAGAAAATTATATGGGCAACTCCCAACATGCATTGCAATGCATTTTTACATTTTGCTACATTTTGTCTAAATATAATTTTATGCACGAATAACAGGCTTATCATATCCATTTCACACTTTTCGAGTTATACCTAATCAATTTGCAGAATTATGACTATTAATTAATTCATATGAATCACAGTACACAAGTTCCAAGGCAATAATGATTACAAAATCTCTGTCGATACCACAATTTTAAATTAAACTTCAATAAGTATCAATTTTATCCATAACAGTGCACATTTACACCTCATACACCGTTAACTGCTCGCGGTTGCGCATTGAATGTGCCTATTTATAACGCATATAATTTTAGTATTTCTTTTACTTTTCTAGGTGTACCTATTTTAAATTTCCAAATTAGTCAATAAAGAAATTAAAATAAAGCTGGTATTGCTTCTTATGGAACAACTGTACCTATGCAGATTTATAAAATGTTCCATTCTTAATAAAACCTGTTTGGTTTTTTCCTTCCACTACCTTTTGATGTTTATATTTCAACACTCTAAATAATTGAACTCATTATATTCCAAAATCGTTTAGGCCATATTTTCTTTAAACATTTACCGGCGTGGGACTAAATACGGCGCTTAAAATGTATAGGACCATTAAAAGGGGCTGTTAAATTAATTCGTTCTTTTTTTCTGTACTAAATTGCGAGTAACACCTACGCAGTCTAGTAAATACAGTAAGAGCGTTGTTTTCGGGCAGACGCAGTAACATATAACGTTTTCATTTACTGAAAGCCTGGATTGCTCTTTTTGCGGATAAATGGCCCGAGAGTTATGGAAGAAATATATCAGGAGATATAACAGTTCCGCCAATTTAATGTTGTATAGGCGTGTGTGTCCCGGTCTCATGTAAAAAATCGCCGCAGGATGCGGAGATTTAACCTGAACTTGCCTCTAACACATTCCCTGTGTGCTTATGTTTTCGTTTCTTTACTGTCGCCGTGCCGTAATGGCACTTTTGTTTCATTTACCGTCACGAGGATGAGTGTATTTTTCTCCATCTCATCTTTGTAAGATTTAAAAAACTAAAACGAGGAAAAATGTAGAAATTTATATTAATTCAAATTTTGAAATTTAGGATCCTTTCACTCTGTTAAGGCCGTTTTGCAGAGCCAAAGGAATTCATGGATTAATTCATGATTTCTTCATGGATTTGTTGAGAATATTAACAGGTTCAGCAATTGTAATTGTAATTACTTAGAAAATTTAGTTAATAAATAATATCAAGAGGATAGAGAATAATTTAATTAATGTTTAATGATTTTTATAATAAACACGGTTGGCATCTTATTTTTAAATCAAAATGTAACTAGGATCCACTAAATAATTGTTAAAAATTAAAAATTAAAGTCACTATTCTTACGATTATTATTGCTTCATTAATAAATTGACGACAATTTTGTGTATTATGCCTACATAACAATTAATTCAAGGTACAAAAATGTACCAATATCTTTAATAGGCCATTTTTCGATTGAGATATTGCCAACTAACACAGGCAGTGGCAATTATTAACATTAATGTCGTCATAACTTGTGTATAGATTTTATTTATTTCCTTCGTTTTTATGATGTATTTGTATTTTTTTTGGTTGTTTGTTCCTTTTAATTTTGTTTGTAATTGATGTACTTCTTTTATTATTGTCTGTAAAATCCCTGTTCTATAATTGGGTAGTACCTGTTGAACAGTGTATTAAATAAAATAACTTATTATTAGGATATGTGTAGAGAATAAAAGAATGTTAGAGCTAAGTATTTAAATTTA